GGAACCCACCAGCAGTGTGAGGAGACCTGAAAGTGGCACATGGCAGAGTGTGGCGATGGAGACAGCAGCAATGGAGGCCGTACAGGGACCCATGACACACTCTGGACCTGGCAGCAGCATGAGGAGGCGGTACGGGTACAGGGGCCCATGACAGATTACGGGCCTGGGCAGCAGCAATGGAGTTACGGGCCTGCAGCAGCAATGAGGAGTAATCTGTGAGGGAGCACCCATGGCACATGGAAATGGCCCACCAGCAGCAATGAGGAGGCCGTACAGGGACCCATGACACACTGTGGACCTGGGCAGCAGCAATGAGGAGAGGCGGTACAGGGGCCCATGACAGATTACTGGGCCTGGCAGCAGCATGAGGAGTCGGTACGGGGGCCCATGGCAGATTACGGGCCTGGCAGCAGCAATGGGAGGCCCGTAATCTGCCAGCACCCTATGACAAAATGGAACCCACCAGCAGTGTGAGGAGACCTGAAAGTGGCACATGGCAGAGTGTGGCGATGGAGACAGCAGCAATGGGAGGCCGTACAGGGACCCATGACACACTCTGGACCTGGCAGCAGCAGCAGCATGAGGAGGCGGTACAGGGGCCCGGGGGCCCAGATTACGGGCCTGGCAGCAGCAATGGGAGGCCCGTAATCTGCCAGCACCCTATGACAAAATGGAACCCACCAGCAGTGTGAGGAGACCTGAAAGTGGCACATGGCAGAGTGTGGCGATGGAGACAGCAGCAATGGGAGGCCGTACAGGGACCCATGACACACTCTGGACCTGGCAGCAGCATGAGGAGGAGGCGGTACAGGGGGCCCATGACAGATTACGGGCCTGGCAGCAGCAATGGGATGGGAGCCCGTAATCTGCCAGCACCCTATGACAAAATGGAACCCACCAGCAGTGTGTGAGGAGACCTGAAAGTGGCACATGGCAGAGTGTGGCGATGGAGACAGCAGCAATGGGAGGCCGTACAGGGACCCATGAGACACTCTGGACCTGGCAGCAGCATGAGGAGGCGGTACGGGGGCCCATGACAGATTACGGGCCTGGCAGCAGCAATGGGAGGGCCCGTAATCTGCCAGCACCCTATGACAAAATGGAACCCACCAGCAGTGTGAGGAGACCTGAAAGTGGCACATGGCAGAGTGTGGCGATGGAGACAGCAGCAATGGGAGGCCGTACAGGGACCCATGACACACTCTGGACCTGGCAGCAGCATGAGGAGGCGGTACAGGGGCCCATGACAGATTACGGCCTGGCCCTGGCAGCAGCATGAGGAGTCGGTACGGGGGCCCATGGCAGATTACGGGCCTGGCAGATGACGACGAGGCTGCCAAGTGCGATCAGCCTCATCATCATCAATTAGGGTCTCCGCCTCACTACTAGCCCCCTCGGCTGCTGTGGGTCAGGAGACAGACCTGTCTCTAGACCGGCTACCGAGCCACTCTCCTCGCCAGTACTTCTTCGCCTGGCTGCTGAAGAGGCGGATGTCTCCCCCCGTTCCTGACCGCCCTCTGTTAGCTCTTCCTCACTGTACAGTGGGGCTGAGCCCACAGCATGCGATACTTCGCTTGGTGAGGGAACACCAAAGGACAGGGGCAGGTAGAGGACACGTGATTTCAGTGGGCTTGCTCCCGGGCCATGCCAACTAACGGTTGTGTCTGACGTACCCACCGACCGTTGGCTGTAGGTGTCAGAGGTGACCTGGGAAGAGGAAGACGACCGAGCCAACCAATCGATGATGGCAGGGTTGTCGGTGGAGACACGACCGCTGGATGACACCGGGAGCACTGGCCTCTGGCTGCGACTAGTGCTGCCTCGACCCCTTCCTCTGCTGCCACGTCTGCTCGCTCCTGAAACATTGCCTCCTCTGCCACTCCTCTGCGTGTTGTCTGACATACTCTTTAATTCAAGATTCTGTGTCCCTGAGTAACGATTCTGTGTCCCTGAGTAACAATTCTGTGTCCCTGAGTACGATTCTGTGTCCCTGAGTAACAATTCTGTGTCCCTGAGTAACGATTCTGTGTCCCTGAGTAACGATTCTGTGTCCCTGAGTAACAATTCTGTGTCCCCTGAGTAACGATTCTGTGTCCCTGAGTAACGATTCTGTGTCCCTGAGTAACAATTCTGTGTCCCTGAGTAACAATTCTGTGTCCCTGAGTAACAATTCTGTGTCCCTGAGTAAACAATTCTGTGTCCCTGAGTAACAATTCTGTGTCCCTGAGTAACAATTCTGTCCCTGAGTAACGATTCTGTGTCCCTGAGTAACGATTCTGTGTCCCTCAGTAACAATTCTGTGTCCCTGAGTAACAATTCTGTGTCCCTGAGTAACAATTCTGTGTCCCTGAGTAACAATTCTGTGTCCCTGAGTACACGATTCTGTGTCCCTCAGTAACAATTCTGTGTCCCTGAGTAACAATTCTGTGTCTGTCCCTGAGTAACAATTCTGTGTCCCTGAGTAACAATTCTGTGTCCCTGAGTAAAGATTTCTGTGTCCCTCAGTAACGATTCTGTGTCCCTCAGTAACAATTCTGTGTCCCTGAGTAACAATTCTGTGTCCCTGAGTAACGATTCTGTGTCCCTGAGTAACGATTCTGTGTCCCTCAGTAACAATTCTGTGTCCCTGAGTAACAATTCTGTGTCCCTGAGTAACAATTCTGTGTCCCTGAGTAACGATTCTGTGTCCCTGAGTAACGATTCTGTGTCCCTCAGTAACAATTCTGTGTCCCTGAGTAACAATTCTGTGTCCCTGAGTAACAATTCTGTGTCCCTGAGTACAATTCTGTGTCCCTGAGTAACAATTCTGTGTCCCTGAGTAACAATTCTGTGTCCCTGAGTAACAATTCTGTGTCTGTCCCTGAGTAACAATTCTGTGTCCCTGAGTAACATTCTGTGTCCCTGAGTAACAATTCTGTGTCCCTGAGTAACAATTCTGTGTCCCTGAGTAACAATTCTGTGTCTGTCCCTGAGTAACAATTCTGTGTCCCTGAGTAACAATTCTGTGTCCCTGAGTAACAATTCTGTGTCCCTCAGTAACAATTCTGTGTCCCTGAGTAAAATTCTGTGTCCCTGAGTAACAATTCTGTGTCTGTCCCTGAGTAACAATTCTGTGTCCCTGTCCCTGAGTAACAATTCTGTGTCCCTGAGTAACAATTCTGTGTCCCTGAGTAACGATTCTGTGTCCCTAAGTAACGATTCTGTGTCCCTAAGTAACGATTCTCTCTGGCCCTAAAGTCTCTCTGGCCCTAACTCTGTCCCTAATACAGGTCTGTCTGTCTCTTGAATGACCGGAGGCTAATGGAGAATTGTAAGATGGCCGCAATTTATAGCTCCACCATTACACAGTGCTGGCTGGCTGGCTGCTGATTGGCTAATGCGATCACATGTCTTGAATGAATGCATTATGGGTCAGCGCGCCTTGTCTGCGCGCCTTCCCAGAGATCCCCGCTCCGTCGCCACACATGTCGCCGCCATTTTTGGGAAAATTCGATTCGTGCATCCCAAGTTTGCTAATTTTCGGATTCGGCGCGAATCAAATTTTTCCTGATATTCGAAACGAATTCCACTTCGCCATGTTCGATTCGCTCATCTCTAGTCTGTATTAAAAAGTTTCCACTTACCTTAAGCCATGGTCACATGATCAGCCAATGAAGGGGTTCTGTCAGGATCCAGAAGACTATTGATGTCAGATCTATGTGAGTAAAGGGGGCTGACCAAAGAGAGTTAATATGCTGCACTGGACAGTCCCCACATACTGGATTATGTTTTATATGCCACTGCAGGTGATATCTGTAATCAAAGCTCCAAGTCCAGTAAACACAAGTAGAGAAGTTTTATTTTACTTGGAAATAGTCTAGTACTATATATTTCTATTAAGACTGTGATAGCCCTATTATTTTGTGGGTTTTGTCCATTTTTAAAACTAGAAATTCTAACATGCACAGCATGCGCATGTGCGACTTTGTAGAGCCCTTTAACCACTTGCCCTTCAGAGGATTTACCCCCCTTCCTGACCAGGCCATTTTTTTGCTATACGGCGCTGCATTACTTTAACTGACAATTGCACGGTAATACAACACTGCACCCAAATTAAATCTCTGTCCTTTTTTCCCCACTTATAGTTTTCTTTCTGTGGTATTTGATCACCTGTGAGTTTTTTATTGTTTGCGCTATACACAAGACCAACAATTTTGAAAAAAAAAAAACAATATTTTAACTTTTTGCTATTAAACATGTCTAATAAAAAAAATTTAAAAATTCAAATTTCATCATAAATCTAGGCCAAAATGTATTCTGCTAAATGTCTTTGCTAAAAAAAAATCCCAGTACATTACGTTATAATGTCTACAAATGGCAATATAGACAGTGGAATTTTTTTATTTATTTATTTTTTTACTAGTAATGGCAGTGACTTATTGCGGGACTGCGGGACAGCAGCAGGCATTCTGACACTGGGAAGGGAATGACTAACTGCCATTGACATCCCCACTGACACTAATTCAGTGATCAGTGGTAATAAAAAGCACTCACACTGTACTAATGACACTGGGCAAGAAGGGTTTAACATCTGGGGCAATGAAGGGGTTAACTCTGTGCGTTTTACTAAGTGTGCTGTGCAGAGCACTACAAAGCAGCCTGTTAGTGCTGACAGGGAAGAGATCTGTATTGTTTACACACAGACCTCTCCCCTGTCAGCTCTGCAAACGATCACCGGCCAGGACCCGGTGATTGACATGCTCAGGAGCCAATAGCGGCATGGGTAGGGAGCGCGCGTGCGCATGTCTGCTACCGATAAATACAAAATCACATATATATACATGATTTTGCGCATCCCTGACACTTGGTAGCAGTACTTCTGCTATAGGGCAGTCGGGAAGCAGTTAAGGGATGGCTCAGACTTATCACTCATCATATCTGGATAGGGGATATATATATAGTTGGCATGGGAAGATCCAGGGTTGAATTTGAAGTATGAGGAGGAGCTCTTTTTGGGATCAGCGACTTATAGTGGGACTGCGGGACTGCGGTGGACATTCTGACACTGGGGGGAACTGACTTGGTGTCATTGACATCCCCAGTGACACCAATACAGTGATCAGTGCTAAAAGAAAGCACTGACACTGTACTAATAGCACTGGGCAGGAAGGGGTTAACATGAGGGTTGATCAAAGGGTTAACTGTGTGCAGAGAGTGTTTTAGTAGTGGGTGGTGTCAGTGTGCTTTACTGTAATTACACTGCTCTAAGAGGCTGTGCTGTGCACAGCCATCCAGAGCAGCGTGCCAGAGCAGATAGGGAGGAGAACTGTTAGTAAACAAAACAGTCCTCCTCCCCATCAAAGATCTTTGGAAATGACAATGACCCAAAACACATGACCAAGGCAACAAAGGAGTGGCTCAAGAAGAAGCACATTAAGGTCCTGGAGTGGCCTAGCCAATCTCCAGACCTTAGTCCGATTGAAAATGTGTGGAGGGAGCTGAAAGGTCGAGTTGCCAAATGTCAGCCACCAAACCTTAAAGACTTGGAGAGGATCTGCCAAGAGGAGTGGGCCAAAATCCCTCCTGAGATGTGTGCAAACCTGGTGGCCAACTACAGGAAACATCTGACCTCTGTGATTGCCAACAAGGGATTTGACACCAAGTACCAAGTCATGTTTTGTGAAGGGGATCAAATACTTATTTCCCTCATGAACATGCAAGTCAGTGCATGTTTTGTTAGACATTTGTTAGACATGCATTTATTTTGAATTTTTTGTTGCTATTCTGTCTCTCGGTGTTACAATACACCTACCATTCGATTTTTAGACTGATCATTTCTTTGTGAGTGTGCAAACATTCAAAATCAGCAGGGGATCAAATACATATTTCCTTCACTGTATATATATATATATATATATATATATATATATATATATATATATGTGTGTGATTTTGTGCACCCGTGCCACCCTGTAGCAGTATTTTTGCTATAGGGTGGACAGGAAGCGGTTAAAACATATTTTGTGACCCTGCTTGAAAAGTGGTATGTATAGGCTGGGGAAAACTGAGTGATTAGTGAATGGCTCTTTCCCAGAGTCTGAAAGGTACAGCTTGTGGTTTTCTACTTCAGACACTCACTGGAAGGTTGTGTGTGACCTGGGGCAATTGGTTCCTGTGTCTGAAGATTTGAGCTGGGATACAGAACACTGAGTGTATGTAAGAGCTGAAATTTGGCAAAAATAAAGTAATACTTGAACTAGCACAAAGTGGGCAACAAGGTTGGCCTGGGAAGACACAGGCTCCCAATGTCTAAAGGAAGCTGTTGTGCCCTTTGTACCATGGTAGGTTTATGATATCATGGTACTGAAATAAGAGAAGACACATTGCCAGCTACAGTGTGGCGCAGGGATGGTGGTTCTAAGGAGTGTTATTTATTTTATTTATTTATTACAGGTACTTATATAGCGCCCATGAATTTTACGCAGCGCTTTACATATATATTGTACATTCACATCAGTCCCTAACCCTCAAGGGGCGTATAATCTAAGGTCCCTAACTTACATTCATACACATACTAGGGCCAGTTTAGTCAAGAACCAATTAACCTACCAGCATGTCTTTGTATTATGATCATTATTATTATTATTATTCTGTATATATATAGCACCAACTGTTTGTACAGCACTTTACAAAAGCCGAAAGTACAGTTAAAATACAATTCAATATAAGAGAAATTAGAGGGCTCTGCTTGCTAGAGATTACAATCTAAGAGGGAGGGTCAAGTGATACAAAAAGTAATAACTGTGGGTGATGAGCTGATGGAGAAAGTAAAAAAGACAGTTTATTCATTAACCTCCCTGGCGGTATGATTATTTCAGATTTTTGGTGCTGAAAGCGGTACCATTATTTTGCATGGAAATATGTAGTTTTTTTATATTGTAGGCTGTAATATTTAGGAATAACTCACTGAAATCTGTCCGAACAAGAGTCTAGTAAACATCCCGGGTAGGATAAAATTTGAAACACCAAATCATAAATTATAATTTAATAAATAATCATAAAAAATAATAATATAATAATAATACATTTAATTCAATAATGTAATCAAACCAAAAACACTGAAATTTGAAATATAGCGCCATAATAAGTTCGCACATTGCTGAGCAAAGTCGCAAAATCGTTTTCAGTGCTGATGACGAATTTCCCCACAAATCATTATCACTCAATTCTGCAACTGGTTCTGATTTACTATTGCTGTTCTCTAGCTGATCTAAACCGCTTTTGACCTAAAGGGACACTTTTTGGACGCCATGGACGTTTCTCAGTTTCCAGGCAGAAAGAACAGACAAAATGCAGGCAGGGCACAGGACAAAGCACTCGGGACAAAATGTATGTGAAATGGGTTGAGGCAGCAATGTTTTACTATGTAAAATGTAAAAAAAAAAAAAATGACATTTTTTAAAATTTTTAAATTTCCCGCCGCCGCCGCCGGCGCCCGTACGTCCCGACGTCACAGGGACAGGACACAGAAGCCGGATGCCGGCATCCGCCGAAGGAGATGGCCGGGGACGCTGCAGGGGACACATCGTGGGAGCGCAGGGTAAGGTAAGTGAAGAACAAATGCCGGAGCAGTGCCGCATGGTATTCCCGAGTGTAGCTCGGGGTTACCGCTCTTGGTACTGAAATGTTACCCCGAGCTACACTCGGGAATACCGCTAAGGAGGTTAAAAGCAGAATACACTTCTCTAAAGAGATGGGTTTTCAGGGATCGCCTAAAGGTGGATAGAGTAGTCGATAGTCACACAGATTAGGGAAAGGAGTTCCATAGGAAGGGAGGTGCTCTGAAAAAGTCCTGAAGGTGAGCATGGGAGGAGGTGATGAGGGAACTAGAAGAAGGAGGTCTTATGAGGACTGAAGGGAACAGTTTGGTTGGTATTTACAACCTCCTTCCCTCCCAGAACTGTATTGCTATTATTAGACTGCTTGTTACAATTTCTTTGACCTGTCACTAGTGTTTCTTCATGTGATTTCTCCAGACCACAAAAATCAGTGTGTAGTGTGCACCAATTATTTTGTTCAAATGATCGCTTCATGTTGATCACAGATAACAACTGATCATTTTCAAAGCCATACTGTGTCATATACTGTATTGTGGCTATTACCCGATGCACAAACACATGCCCATAAGGGTTAACAGTAAGTTATATGCTCTATCCTAATCTTAGGAAAGTAATTTATGCTTGATGTATTAAACCACAAAGGAGAGATGATCTCTTTCGGCCATACTGTTTCATGTGCAATTTATATACAATATTGGTGTCCATTTTAAATCCATAAATAGAAATATATATTTTGATGTATAACGGCAAAGCAAATACAATTTAACTTGTGAAACCAATTTCTAGTGTAACCCAGTTTGTTCCCCACAGCTGTCTATGATACACCCTGACCAGAAATTAACTATGCCGGTATGAGGGAATAACTCTGACCCATTCATAAAGCTATATACTTTCCAGCATGGTAAAATTGAATAATTACCTGCAGCAATAAAGGCACAGCCTAACTAAACCTGTAAGGCCCTACCTAGTCACTGCCCAGTGTACCTGAAGCTAGCGTTGGTTCCCTTAGTCCAGTGTTTCTCAACTCCAGTCCTCATGGACCCCCAACAGGTCATGTTTTCAGGATTTCCATTATTTTGCACAGGTGATTTGATCAGTTTCACTGCCTTAGTAATTACCACAGCTGTTTCATCTGAGGGAAATCCTGAAAACATGACCTGTTGGGGGTCCATGAGGACTGGAGTTGAGAAACACTGCCTTAGTCTCTGGTGGAGCACTCACCTTTCCCCTCTGAGGGGATCTGTAATCCCAAAAGGGTACAAGGTACAGAGCAAGGACCTGCAGCTCATAGTTGCCACACAGCATAACGTGGTCCTGGCAGGCCTCCAGCAACCAGAGAGCTCTCTGCATCAGCAGCTCGGAGCCCAGGCACTTTTAAATCCCGGTTCTGAGCCTTGTTTCTTACAGTGTCCTCTGGGAAAACCTACAGTGCCCAGTAGCTCTGTGAGTCCCCTCTCCATAGGCTCCAGACCACTCTTCTCCCCTACATGTTTCTCCCTAGTTTTAAGCTTCTATTCCAACTGCAGTCAGCAGCACATTGCAGTCTTCTTGGCCCTGAAAGTCAACTGGATTCCTTCCTGCCCAGGAAAGCTAGGGCATTCTAAAACTACCTACATGCTTGTCTATCATAGGAGGGAGAGAGAAAACAATTTATGCAGCTGAAGGGAAGCAATCTGCCGAGTGGTTTAAAGGGACCACCCTCCAGTGGGTGCCACATAATACAATCATGGCCAAAAATATTGGCACCCCTGCATTTCTGTCAGATAATGCATCACTTCACCCAGAAAATTGTTGCAATTACAAATTTTTAGGTATTCTCTTGTTTATCTCTTTTGTTTATATTGATATGACACAAAAAAGTGGAGAAACTAAAAGCCAAATCTGACATATTCCTAAAATGAACTGGACAAAATTGTAGGAAATAATTGCATTCCAAGTTTGTGATGCTCCTGTAATTTGTAATAAAACTCACCTGTATCAATTACCAGGTGATGAATATAGAAACCACATCGGCAACCAGTTAAAATGGTGAAAAATTGACTCAACTTTTAGCTGTGTGTCTCTGTGTGCCACATGGAGCATGGAGAAGAGAATGAGCAGCAAAGAATTGTCTGAGGATTGGGGAACACAAATTGTGGAAAAGCATGGACAATTTCAAGGTTACAAGTCCATCTCCAGAGATCTTAATGTTCCTGTGCCCACTGTGCACAACACTCTCAAGAAGGTTACAGCCCATGGCACTGTAGCTAATCTCCCTGGATTTGGATGAGAGAGAAAAATTGATCAAAGATCAATGAAGGATTGTTTCAAATGCTGGCTAAAGAACCTCTATCAACTTCCAGATAAATTCAAGCTGACTTTCAGGCACAGGGTACAACTGTGTCAGCTCGCACTATACATCGCCATCTGAATAAAAAGGGACGCTATGGTAGGAGACCCAGGAGGACCCCACTGCTGACACAGAAACATAGAAAAGCCAAATTGGAGTTTACCAAAATTTACCTGAAGAAGCCAAAATTCTTTTGGGAGAATGAGCTGTGGACAGACGAAACAGAATTGGTAAAGCCCATCATTCTACTGTTTTCAGAAAAAGCAATGAGTCCCAACAGTCAAATATGGTGGAGATTCATTGATTGTTTTGGGGTTGCTTTGCTGCTTCAGGCACTGGATGTCTTGACCGTATGCATGGCTTTATGAAATCTGAAGACAACCAAAGAATTCTGGGGTGCAATGTAGGGCCAAGTGTCAGAAAGTTGGGT